AGCATAAAAAAATTGTTTATTAGATCTAAGATCTAAGAAGGAATGATTCAACGTCTGCGTTATATGAAGTAGTTGTGTAACTCAGCTTTATATTTCGTATTACACAAATGACGTCTTTGATTGCAACTACACAAGTATGTGTTGGCTAAAATATACACGTCGTGTGTTGCATTTCAAACAAGTTTGTGTTAAAACTACACAAATTTGTGTTGGAAGAAATATACACAACTCTTGTGTAGGTTGTTTAACACAAGATTTTATTCAGTGTATACAAACTAATTAAAAACGTTTGGTTTCACTCGATCTAAATTCATCTGACATGTATTGAAATCAAGGGTCCTTTCTACAATAATGTAAATCCATTCTTGTGAATCTCCGGGTGAGTTCACAAGCTTGTTTTTTTCCCTGAGCAGCTGTATTTGAGTGTAGGTGTTCTGCAACCACGCCTCTTCTTCATCAATACCCGTCGTGTAGTTTCATTTACGACAAAATCGTTCTTCTGCTACATTAAGCGTTTTTAGAAACATAGTTCATCATGAACCCTGTCTTAATTTTCATCGAATGGAAGAAAATTCGTTCTAAATTGTCCTTGATATCAATTGTTGCTGTTTATTACGATTAAGATTATTGTGTACTTTAGGAGTTCAAACAGCATCAGCCGTTGGTATTTTTGGCCGACTCTTTGTTTTTCTTTACTTCATATCATTGCCTCTAGCAAGAGGTACAACATAAAACCGGACCCTTAGAAGACAGACCTCTGAGTTTAGTGGCACACTCTTCCCTGTATTATTTCAGGATATCAATGGCCAGTTTGGTTGCTATTTAGACTTCTTGTTCCAACATGGTCCTTACGTTTTCTCCATTGATCGTGAATTCCTTTTGTAGATTTTTAACTACTGAACGATCTTTAACGTGCACAGCCTGACGCACACGGGCCCCGATTTATTGTCCAGGGGACCTACCTGACTAACAGGGGGAATCTGGGTTTAAAAATACGAAGGTGTTATCTACATATGCTTGAATTATTTTCTGAATTAATGGACAGATTGTCTTTAAATGAATTGTCTTTTAAACCACGTTCTAGCTGGGGACACCGCCCTGGATTGGAAGGACCTTAATCTTTGTCTTTGTCTCCTCTTTGAGTTCTAACAATTGATTAGACCGATCCCTCAAAACACACTCCTGGGGTAGATTATAATTGTGATGAAAAAACTCGACAAGCTGCTATATATGTGGATTTAATTTTAAACAGAACTGTATTGGTATGCACAACAAATTCTGATTTGATCGGTCTCCTACTATATGAAAATAATTGACCTCAGGAGAACAGGATTTGGTATAAAAATCGACCATCTTAGTCACTTTTAACATATACAATGTACTAATTTGCAATGATTATTGACTAGAAGAATTTGAATAGTCAAAATATGAATATTATCACCGCGGCAGCCCTTCCCTTGCGTAGCTGTTTCAAGAAAGAATAGAAAGTGGTTTGAAATCGAAAAGAATTGAAATTATGATATACATCCATTCTAGTTTACCCCATTTAATTAAATTACAATATTTACGATATATTACGTGGAATAATTACGATCTATTTTTGCCCACCCCCTGATTACTGATTTTGTTATGCAATCTTTTGTTAAAGTAGAGTCTTGGGAGGGGGAATTTTATACTGATTTTTTAAAGTAGTTTTAGGAGGGGGAATTTTAGACTGATTTTTTATGCAATCTTTTGTTAAAGTAGAGTCTTAGGAGGGGGAATTTTATACTGATTTTTTTATTCAATCTTTTGTTTAAGTAGAGTCTTGGGAGGGGGAATTTTAGACTGATTTTTTATGCAATCTTTTGTTAAAGTAGAGTCTTAGGAGGTGGAATTTTAAACTGATTTTTGTATTCAATCTTTTGTTAAAGTAGTGTCTTGGGAGGGGGAATTTTATGCTGATTTTTTAAAGTAGTCTTGGGAGGGGGAATTTTAGACTGATTTTTTATGCAATCTTTTGTTAAAGTAGAGTCTTAGGAGGTGGAATTTTAAACTGATTTTTGTATTCAATCTTTTGTTAAAGTAGTGTCTTGGGAGGGGGAATTTTATACTGATTTTTTAAAGTAGTCTTCGGAGGGGGAATTTTAGACTGATTTCTTATGCAATCTTTTGTTAAAGTAGAGTCTTGGAAGGGGGAATTTTATACTGACGACAATTATTTTACAGAAGATCCTTTTTTGGACTCATGACTACTCTGATGACGAAGAATATAATTCGTAAGAAGGAACATTCAGAGCTATGTGTCTGGAAGGACTTATTGAGAAATAAAAGACATACATAATTATTTGTCCTTGTATTATTTCTATACTCTTTATAAAACTCGTCCAAAATATTTGGACTTGAACTATATCATTAATTTTTACTTGTCAAAATTATTTTTCCTATTTCAGGCACTGTGATTGATGGAAGATACAAACATCAGTTGTGGAAGAAATCGGTTGACATTGAACCTAACATTGAAGAGAAAGAGTTCTGAAGTTCAGGCTTCCAGAAGATAGTCCTAATTAGGAGTCCATTGGTGCTCAATTTCAACTTTCAATAAAATTAATTCAATTTAATCCAGATGGTAGATGTTTTCTTTAAGATTTATTGCTCTACATCTCATTCAAGAACTTCCACGTCAACCTGAGACTGAGACATCAATGGAAATATCACAGATATTAACCTGCGTTAAAGAAAACACTTCATTTTCAAATTTAGAAAATCTGTGTTCTCTTTTAAGAACATACTCATTCTCAGAGTAGTGTAAAGGTGTTCTCAATGAGAACATAATTATCATGTCTAATACAATGTAACAATTATAGAACGTCAAGTGCGTGTTCTGAAGCCAGAAAGTTTTTTCTTTGTTGTAAAATAAAGAAAAATCATGAAAATAATTAATATGTTTATTTGTATAATAAAACGTCTAGATATAACAAACAAACACAAATGGTCTAAACAGTCATTGAAACATTTTTTTATACGCCCACATAATAATGTGTTATTGTCGCAGTCCGTCGGTCCACAATTGGCTTGTGAACACCATAGAGGCTACAGCTTTTATCTGATTTTAATGAAATTTGGTGTGATCATTTATATTCATGAGATCTTTGTCAACATCGATTTTTCGATGAACGCTGCCATTTCTTGTATCTATAAGCACTTTTATCCTAACTAAAGTGGTTTATGTATCATATACTATGGGCTTAACATCAAAATATTATCAATTTCAAAATTGAACGAGATATCACCGCTTGATTCTATGTACCTTAATTCCTTAAGAAGGAAACAGACATGATAGCATAAATCAGGAATAAAAAAAAACAGAATAGGCAAAATTTTCAAATGTAAATCATAACTAAACATGTCCTAAACAAACCAAATTATATCATAGAGGCCAATAATAACGAATTTCCACACATATCCTCATTTTTGTTCTTATTATAATATAACATTTGAGATCAGTTCCCTCCCTTGACGTTCCAAGATTGGTCATGTTTGTTGTGTCTATGGCGCTTGGTAGGGTATTTAAGGTTTATTTGATTATTTGATACTTACGTGGACTGGTGTTTCATGTTACTTTTTGTCCATAATTTAAGGGCCCTTGTCGCTTAAGATACGTAAGTAACTTTATTTTAAAGGCAATGTTTCGTTTCGGTTTAACATGTTTACGTTCCATATTTTTTACCGACCGTTCGCGCCGAAAAATGGTTGATAAACATTATAATTTGGTTGTCTTGAAAGATTATGATTGTTGAAATCGTGTATGTATTATTTATTCATAATCTACTAGTGCACTAACAATAATAAGCCTCTTTTCTATTGCTCGTAATATTGTGATTTTCTAAAAGGCATTATTTTAGATCAGATCAATGTCAAATATAGAAAATGATTTCATTCGCAGATCGTTCTGATAAATTTTAGTTTGGGCAAGTCAAAGAAAGTATTAGAGCCGAAAACGTCTTATTTTCAATCGTAAACTGTGATGCGATGCAGCTTAAACTAAACTGTACTGTCAATGTATTGAACCCTTCATATTATAAGCTTATCCTTTTCACTGACTATAGACCACTATAGTTAATTGACGTTGTTAATCCTGAGATAGATAGGACAATAAAATTTTGATAAAAAGATTATTAGTTCATAGTTGTTTTCACTTGCCACTTAGACAATTTTTATCATGGGCAAAAGCCAAAATAATGTGCTGAGGTCAAAACTACTGTGCCAAAATGACTATTGGTTGAAATAACTACGGACAGTATTATTGTGACATTGGTTTTTTTTTATATTATCTGAACATGATTCAAATCATCAGTTAAGATTCGCATCAACTCCAGAAGAGTAAGCTTATTGGATGAATTAGATTGTAATTTAAAATTGTTTGCTTTCAACACACTGTGAGAGAAGTGAATTACATTTTGAAAGGTTAAATTATCAGTTGTCCAAATATCCTTTTTTCCACTTCATTTAATTACTTGAAAAGGAAAATAGCATATCACTTATGAAGGGGGGTAACAAGTCATGAACTCTGTCATTTCACATTTTTTGCCCAGTCCTACACACAAATAGGCATGGTAGAATTTTGTCTTATGTTATCAACGAGTTTGGTGGTTTTATAATAATTTGATAATTAGTTCAATGTCATGGAAAGAGATCACATTTTGATTAATTGTTAATGACACTATTACAAATCAAACATTTATCATGGTGGGCGAGATTTCCTGTTTGAGTGTAGGACTGTGCCTGGTAATTTAGTTAAATTTTATATTTATCGGATGTGTATAATCATCGATCCCAGGTAGACATGGAGATTTACAATTTTTTTTTTCTTAGCTCTGGCAAGGATCTAGAAAATATCTGCACAAAACAAGTTGGAAATTTTTATCTAAGACTATTTTTGATCAAATTTAGAATAGTTTTTGCAATCTTTGCAGATGATTTAATAATCAAGGGCCAGAATAGATTAATAAATCACAACCATGGTTGTAGCAGATGATGTTAATGGACCGGCCAAAAAGAAGCCAAGGCTGTCTTTAAAGGCCAGTAAGAAGACTACTCCTTCAACAGCTGATGAAGCCAGTAAAGTTGCCTCTGCTACACCACTAGATTTCACAAACAAGTAGGATACTATATTTTAAATATTTAATTCAAATTACTGCTTGTTTGTTTAACAAAACACAAGATAATATTATGGAATATAACGCACTTCTTTAATAAGGTTGGGCACATAAGGTTTCTACACGTGTCGTCATCAGATGTAATGGCAAGACAATAAAACGTAACAAAATATATACCAACAAGAAACAATATAGAGATTAAGAGGGACACAAGATAAAAGGGGTAATAACAAGTGATTAAGAGAAACGTTATGTGCCTAACCTTATTAAAGAAGTGTGTTATATTCCATATATAATGTTTTGTTATATGTGCTTCTCACTTCTATATGTCGTTCAAATCTTATGCTTGTTTGTTGTCAATCTTTTTGAGTCACTATCAAAAAGTCTCAAATTACTAAATCTCTTTTGTTTGCTACTATTACTTGATATAATGTTTCATAAGTAATGATATATTAAATGCCCAATGGAAAAAAACAAAATACATGAATTAATTCTTGAATTAATACGATAGGTTGAGATAATACCTTCGGATTTTTCAACCCGGTTTCAGTGATGCAGGTACGAGGGACTGACAAGGAAAAAGCGTCTAGTCGTTCGGATGGCAAAATTTCCCTCATTGCACTCTGCATGGCGTTGCCCATCTCCATTAGCCCACATGGTGCAGAAAAGTAGGACATTCATTTCATTTCATTTGATACGAAAAAAAAAAAACCAAGTATTAACAATCTGAACTGCAAAACAAAACCTGAAATCTAAAATAACAGTTTGGTAATATGTTGCTAGCAGATTATGAACAAGGAAGTATATCCATAATGATGAAAATGAAGAAGTATTTTATAATGATGATTGGTATCAGGTGTTGAGAGGAAGCATACCCTGCCTGCCACTACATTATGCTGCTCTTAAGGTTTTATGAAAAATCAGCATTGCCATACCATTTACAAAATCATTGGATGAATTAGTTGTTGATAACAAAATTACTTGTAAAAGTGATATATTTGATATTTTTTATCAGCAGTGAAACAGCCAGTAGCAATATTGGTAGTGATACACAAGAGGTGTCTGCCGAGAGTTGTGTTCCTTACGATGGTCCTTTAGTACCACCAGTTTCTTCTTTAGAAAATTTAGGTAAGCTTAAGGTACTAACATCTTTAGCAAAGTTAACTATTGAAACATTTTTAAATGCTATCGAATTGTAAAGAAAAGCGAATTAAAATTGAACAAATTTAAATTTGGTTTGATAAATTTTTCCATATAAATTGAATCACTATCGTAGAATTTAGACCTATTCAAAATCCAAGTTTATTTGATATACATAAATATTTTATTTTTCAAGCACTTTAAATAATAAACCCTTTATTGAGTCACTCTAATATTTTCCTAATTGGTGGTAATCCAACATAAATTATTGAGTCTAATGTTAAACTAATGTATGTATATGATTTTAAATTGTAGGAAATACCTGTTTTTTAAACAGTATATTACAAGTATTAAGATATACACCTAAATTTCTAACTGGTCTTACAGAACTTTATACCAATATTATTATACTAGAAAAGGCAGCAAAAGAAAAATTTAAACAGGTTAGTTATATTGGGACTGTTTGTGTTAATTTTGGAAATGGTGGTTGTGGATTTTAATATCTGTTTGGCCAATGACCAGATGGTAGAAAGTATACTGGTGAAAATGCCCCTAGTTTAACAAGTTTGAACCATATTCCTTCCACATTTTTATTCAATTCTCGGAATTTCTTCTAGGAAAGTTTAAAAGAAGAAAATGAAAGTCAAGAAGAAGAAACTGATTTATCATGGGAATTAGTCAAACATCTTTATAAGGTTTGTATTGGATTTCATCAGCTATAAGTATATAGCTTACAGTGGCCATAATCCCATATCTAAAGTAGTAAAGTTTGAATCTATATCAAAATGCAAACCTCAAAACAAAACCCTTCTAAAATCCTAAACAACATCGAACAAAAAAGAATTTCCTCTGATCACTGTTGACTAGTATAAGGCGCGTTCAGACAGCCACAAATTATCTGGACCGAGTACATTTTGGCAGAAAAAGTGACTGCGTAAAAATCTTCCGACAGTGAAAATTAATCACAACTTCCAAATCATCACCTTGTTTGTGGTTGGCAGCATGTTGAATGTCCACAGGTGTATACTTGAAGAATCACCATTCTGGCCCAGTGAAATCAGCCCAGTGTGAAACGTAACTGGTCGGCCAGGCCAAGTCTGGACCGAGTATGGTTCACTTCAAGTGGGCTAGTTTTTACAGCAGTGTAAACGCTGTAGAAAAAGAATATACGACAAAAAATAACTGTATTCTTGATAAGATTGTATTGTGTATGTTATAGATGTATAAAGATATGGATAATAATGAAGAAAGGTACAGTGAAATAGCTAGTGCTGATGTTACAAGTATGGCAGTTAAACCTAATAGAATACTCGATATTATTAGGTATGTGTTTCTCCTGTATCAGATTGTAGAATTTAATTCTGTTCATCTACAATTTAATAATTTATAATACTTTTTTCATTTCCAGATCTAATGCTTTGTTATGAAGATTCCAATCTTCCAATTCTTGAGGCTGGCAATCTTCCTTGATATTTATAAACAAAGACTAAGTTACACTTAACAATATAGTAGGGGTGGAAAGAATTTTCCGTGTGTATCAGAGGCACTGATAGCATAAATTGCACTTTTCAGAGTTCCCGTCAGACATCTGTGGTTTCTTCAATTCCACTAAAATTAAGTGCTTGGTAATGTTGCTCAATATGCTTTATCACATAAGGCTTTTGCGATTAGTGAGGTCATCAAAAATCAGTTACAGTGGAATTGCAGAAACAATCAGATATCTGATCTAAAATTTGAATAGTGGATATTGATGCTACCAGAGTTCCTGATACACATAAAAAATTTACAAAACCTCTTTGCAATCCCTTTTATGTTATAAATGAATTTTTCAGAGAATTCAATCCAATGTTTGAGGGAAATTTCCAACATGATGCTCAAGAACTTCTTCGTTGTCTGTTATGTTACTTAGAAGATGCTGAAAAGGCCTTGAATGTTAAAACAGAGGAATTTGAACCTTACATTGTCAAGCCAATAGCGAAAGCAAATTCCATCATGACGAAATTTCTTATGGCAGGAAAGACAGCCGCACCCAAATGTGAACAAGCCAAGGATTTGAAAAATGGACTGACTTCATTGAACTTAGATACTAAGTTAGCTAAAGGAGATGTTTTAGAAGTTCATAATTCATCAACACAAAAGAAAAATCAAAGCAAAAGGAAAGCATCAAAAAGATTGTCTGAATCTGATCTAACCAATGAGAAAGATAGTCGAAATTCAACTGAACTAAGTGGCAGACGACGTCTATCTGCTGGATCTGTTGATGAGACTAGAAGCCAGCCAAGTGTTGCTACAATGTTCAACAAGAGCGAGGTACCCAGGAGAAGATTGGGTATGCGAGGAGCTGTTGTATCACCACCAGCAAGCAGCACATCTTCTCAGTTTGCTTCCACTGATCTCAACAATAATGTAGACTTTATGCATGATGTCAACAACAACGAAAATTCAGTACCAAGTCGCAATCCATTACGTTCCAAATCACCAGCTGAGTTAGCTTCCAGCTTGGGTAAACTGTCATGTGATTCTCCATCAAAGGACACTGATTTGAAAGAAGCTCAAGTACGTCTGCAGAAATGTGATCGAGTATGTGATAGTCCTTTAAAAACTGTGAGTGCTAATGAAGCCATTAAAAACTTAAGCTTTAACAAACGCAAACGAGACATGGACTCTCCAATCAACAAGTTTACAAATCAGGCTGTGAATAGGACTAAAGTAACAGCAGAAATCAATGAATCACCTGCAAAAAGAAAGGTAACTTTTGATCAAGACACCTCAAGCTCTTTTCAACTTAGGCACACTTACTCACCGATAGCAACCTCCCCTAAAACACTTTACCTCAACAACTCATTATCACCCACGGCAGCTTTCAAAGACAAAATGTGCTCACCATCACCTTTAAGGAGATCACCAAGAAAATCAGAATCACCACTTAAGCCAAATATCGTAACCACTCCCACCAAGATGTGTACTACTGTCACTAAGATGTCACCATGCAACCTCATATCATCTGCTACATCTTCAGCCATTGTATCACCGAGGAGACAGTCACCAAGACTAAACCGAAATCATCTAGAATCACCAACAGCAAACTCCTCAAATTCACCAAAAGCTATGTTTAAATCACCCCTTGGATCAATCTCTCCATCACCTGCCAAAAGAAAAGTGAACTTTGACCTGCCACATGCAGAAGGAATATCATCACCAAATGCTTGTCGTAAATCACCAAGAAATGTCTATATTTTACCCAGTCCAAAGAAGTCTGAAAGTACTTCCAGCAGAAGTTCTTCAGCAGAAATAAAGAAGGAGCCTGTGATAAGATATGATTTTGTAGAAAGATTGTTTCAAGGCACCATGATGTTGAGGACTAAATGTATTGAGTGTGAGTTTTCTAGAGAAAGGAAAGAAGATTTTCAAGATGTCAGTGTTCCTTTAAGAAGAGAGAAAGAAGAGGTGGAATCAGATGAAGAAGTTGAAGGAGGTGAGAAAGTATACTAAAATTTTGATCTTTTGATATATGTGTGTCCAAATAACAGTCAAAGATGCAGATTTTTATACTCTGTACTGGTAATTCATTTACAGTCATGTATGTGGTAAAAGTGTCCCTGAATGAGCATAAATATGTTCTTTGGCATTAGTTGGATTGTTATTGTTTTCTATATATTATTTATAGAACCTAATTATTTTGTATGTGCCCATACTATTGCTGGGTATCGTCAATCATTTCATGATATGATCGTATAATGATACAAGGGTCACAACACAATATGTATCACGATACAAGGGTCACGATACAATATGTATCACGATATGGGGTAATGGGATAAAAATTAACATTTTATCTGCAAAGTTTCTATATATATTAATTCATAATTTAATGACTGTGATATTTGGTAGAAAGTGATAGAAGTGGTTAGCGTCCACTGTCTTAAAAAAGTTTCTGTGAAATTTCAGTGACAAAAAATTGTTATATCCTAAAACTTGCATACCTTAACCATGACATGTTGTATCGCGATACATCGTTCCACTGATATATCATGCCAGCACATAACAAGTCTATAATACTTCTTTATTGATATTTAACCAAAATCTAATTGAAATTTTCCTACAATTTCATATCTGTTTGATATTCTGCTATTTTCTGTCTATATTGTAATGCAAGAAATTTTCTACCAAAGGCCTGTATCAAAGTATTATTCTAAACCCATCAAAGCTTGTCAAGTGAATTTGGAATCTTGATGAAATAGGGAATTGTGGGATATAGAAACTTAAAGTTGAGTAATATGACAACCTCTTTAGGTTTTTATATCCCACAATTCCTTATTTTATTAAGATTCGGGTTTTACATGACATGCTTTGATGGATTAAATAATCTTTGGGTAGAACAAAATATCTGAAGAAAAAAGATAGGAATTGTATTCTTATTTTAATAAGATTAATTAAACCTAAAGATATACTTTCAGAAGTGGATGATTCCTGTTTATCAAAACTCATGTCAGCCTTTTCAGAAGTTGAAAGATTAAAAGAAGATAATAAATATTTCTGTGAGAATTGTTTTCGGTATGTGGAGGCTGAAAGATCACTTCATTATGAAGTATTACCAGATGTTTTAACATTACATTTAAAAAGATTCTCTGCATCTGATAGGTATGTGTACTCTGATATTTGTTATTTTTTCACAAGGCAAAATTGTTAAAGGTAAACTACCTGTAAGCCTGTCCAAGGATGACCTAAAAAATGAAATTTGAGTCTTTGTTGTTCAGCGAACTTACCTGGTGCCATAACTACACAGACTCTATCTGTAATCCAATAAATCCATAAAACTGAGTGATAAGCCATAAACTTAGTAATAATCTATTAAACTTAGTAATAATCTATTAAACTTAGTAATAATCTATTAAACTTAGTAATAATCTATTAAACTAAGTAATAATCTATTAAACTAAGTAATAAGTTATTTTGAAACATGCTTAGAAGTTTTTTTATTATCATAAATTATTTAGTTTAATGGATATATTGTCTTATATAGAGATTCTATTCTTTAGTCATGGTACCTGGTAAGTCAAACTGATGAATATATACACTTGTTGAACACATTTGAAACTTTAAATTGTATGTCCATTCCATTCTTTTTCATTTTGCACAGCAAGTATTCTTAGAAAACATCCAGTTTATATATCAACATTAATTTATTGATTTCATTTGTATCAAATTACAAATATATTGTCATCCGTATTGTAGGTTGTATGGTAGTTTAACTAAAATAAATGACCATATCACTTTACCAGTTACACTGCCTTGTTTACAGTATCAATGTCCTAGATTTTGTAATAAACCTAGTCATAGGTAAGTAATTCATAGTACCGGTACCGAAGAAATCTCAAGTCGACTTTGTGAATGGCACAATCTAAGAACAATCAACTTTTCTATAACTGGGAGCAGCCAGGTTAATTATTTTCGAAACGATCTTAGTGCTGGGATACCCTAGAAAAATAGTTATAAGTTAAGACCCTTGAACATCCGAGGGCTAAAATCGTTGTGAGAATTAAACCAGAGTTAAGTTGAGTTGATCTCACCAATGACTTCAAAATCACAGTCTTCATTGACTGTTTGTGGATAAAAACTTGACATAAATAGTTGACATGGAAAAAGTGTCTAGTCGGTCGGATTGGACCCTGTGTGCTACAGGCTGTGCACGTTAAAGATCCCTCGACAGTCAGAAATCGAAAAAGAGCAGACTAATTCCGCTCTCCTGGCAAATTTTTCCTCATTGCACCCTTGCCCGTCTTTTATTAGCCCACATTAGTGCAGAAAAGGAAGTAAAACTTCATTCATTTTATTGGATTTTTCCAGTGTCAAGGTAAGGAAATGAGTGCTGGAAATTTAGAACTCATATATATATTTTCAGGTATTCATTATATGGTATTGTAACACATGCTGGTACAACCATTACCTCTGGCCACTATCTATCTTATGTCAAAATTGATTCCAACTCTAAGAACGAAATAAAAGTAGAACCAGAAGGACCCAACGCCCACCTTGCCAATCTGTCCACAACCCCCTTTAGTACAGAATGGTATGAATGTGATGATGAAGCTATTCGAATCTGCAGTGATGAAGATTTTCGCCAAAAGTTGATTGGCAAAGAGTCCTCATTAATGGGAACACCTTATGTCTTGTTTTACCACAGGCAAAACTTACTCTCTTAAATTGTGACTTAATTATTTCACTATTTTCTCAAGTGGATCGCTGATATTACTGAACGTCTTATTTTGCCTAACTATAGAATTAAGGAAGAGACAAAAACAGTAATGATATACCAAATACTCTATTAATACATTCAGGTACTTCAATTAACATATTTAGCTGATGCAATGTGTGGTTTGCCTACCACAGAGTATCAATGATATGCAATATTGAATTGAATCAGTGGTATATAATCAAATTAACAGACTATTTTAAATATGGAAATGACTATTGTTATGTTAGTCTACTGTAAACCAAGTAAGGGATAGTCATGATTAGGATTTGGTTGAATAAATAGCAAGTTAGAGTCTTTGTTAGGATTTTTAGGTTGTAACATTGCAGTTAAGTAATGTTACAAAAGCACAGGCTTAATCTCTACTGAGAGAGTATTGTTTGTGCAGTTAGTTTGAATAATATGATATAATTTCAAGATATGAAATGAAAGTCTATATTCTTCAGAATCTAAGAATAATTTGTCCAACAGGAACATTAATATCTATGGAAATTTTAATAAATACTTTTTCCTGCTAAAAATTCTACTTTAAGTGAGAAGATAAAATGCATATTTAGAGCATGTTAGGGTTAGTTTTAGGGTTTAGAAGAGTTGTATAAAACAAAAGATATGGGTAAATGCTTAAACAATATAAAATCTATCTAAGTGATAGCTGCAGTAACTCTATCCTGTGCCTAAAATTATAGATAACTTCAAAATACCAAGAAGATTTCCTTATAAATATTCCATGTTTTATTGTGATCTTGAAAACTGCTTTTCATATATTTGTTGACAATATATCATATGAACGTGGAAAATGGCATCGTTTGGGCAAGACATGTAATTTACTAATCTCCACTTTCCAAATTTCATTATACTTTAAGTTTTGTTTCTTAATTTAATGTAAATTATGTAAAATTATGAATTCCATTATTATTGTTTTTAATGAAAAATCTACAAGCATGCTTGTTGAGGTTTCTTTAATAAAATTAGCAAATATCATAATATATATGAAAATTCTTAAAAATCAGGATTAAATTTTATGTTAAAAATTCTTATTTAAGTGCAAATTATGTAAAATTATGAATTTTTGTTGAAAAATCAACCATCATGCTTGTTGATCTTTCTCCTGATAAAATTAGCAAATATCATAATATATATGAAAATTCTTAAAAATCAGGATTAAATTTTATTTTAAAAATTCTTATTTAAGTGCAAATTATGTAAAATTATGAATTTTTGTTGAAAAATCAACCATCATGCTTGTTGATCTTTCTCCTGATAAAATTAGCAAATATCATAATATATGAAAAGTATTAAAAATCAGGAATAGATTTTATTATGATTTGTATACTAATTACTAATTTTGTTAAAATATTACAATCATCATTTTGATAAATACTTATAATGCTCAAGTTCACATTGATAGGTGATATTTTTTTTTTGGTCATGCTTAAAGCTCAAAATTATCTCAATTGCATTTCCATCATTAATGTATTTGTATAGCTAGAATAAAAATTCAATTCAGCAGGGTATCATTGAGGATTGTCTCATACAATGTAGTTCCATATTATATCTGCCACAGGGTGCACGCTGATATTTTTATTTATTTATTTTTTTAGGTCAGAATTATTTGATGACAATCTGTTAAACCAACTCAAGACTGTTAATCTATTTTGTTCAGTTGCACATTTTTTTCGAATTTTTAAGAATAAATAGTATATATACCATGGTTATACGAGTTAATGGCCCGTATGCAACAAATAAAATCAACTTCAACTGTCCGTCTGTCCACAATTGCTCGTAAACACTCAAGAAGGCAAAGTTGAACCCTATTGAAAAATCGAAAAAATATCGCCCTGAAATACTCGTAAACACTCTAGAAAGCACAATTTTTAACGGATTTAGACAAAACTTGGTATGAGTGTTAGTTATCACCAAAGGATGAACCCTATTGAAAATCAGAAAAATCGAAGAATATTAAGTATGAGTTCTTGTTCTTGAAAACGCGTTAAAATTTGAGCATGTTAACACTCTGGAAGGTACAATTCTTGACAAATTTTGACGAATTTGCTGTGAGTGTTGACTTTGTTCTTGAAAACTCTTTCAATTTTTAGTTCGTAAACACTGAAAGGTACGATTCTTGGCGGATTTTGACAAAAGTTGATAACATTATTCAGTATCGCCCCAAAAAGTCCTAAAGTAGTGTATGACTGAAGGTTGAATATTTCATTCTGGTAATTGTTACTGTACTACTGAATATTTCTTTTCAAAATCAAAGCTTCCAGTGGGCGTATATATTTCCTTGCCTGGCAAGCTATCTTTCATTTCACGTTCGAACCACACACTATATAAAATATATATGTGACAACAAGCTTGATTACCAAGACAGATTTCATGTCACTGTCGTATTTTGTGTGAAATTGTTCATCTCGCGTCCTAGAACCTTTTGCAAACGTTATCAGCCAGAGTAAGATGAAAGATTTCTTTATTTTTCCTTCTCTCAAATGGCGCAAATAAATGCCAGAATTAATATAATATGAATTCCATTTGCAAAATAGTTGTGCCATGAAGTTGCCTCCTCCAGAGAGAAAGGCAATCATTGTAATGGCATTTCATAGGGTAATTTCACGAAATCTATCTAAATCGACTAAAAATTGGTCCATTTTGAAAACCTGTAAGAGGGAATAACAAATTGTTTGTTGGTTAAATCCAAATTTCCATTGGTTTTATATTTATTTTCATAGTATCATTCAGAATTTTACATAGCATGGAATATTTATGTACTATAAAGTTAAAATGTTGAAAGAGTTGAAATGATTTTTGACGTCGCACCTGCCAGTCCGTCCACACAATAGATTCTGCAGTTATTATCCAATCGTTATGAAATTAAGAATGCATGTATGTTGATCAGATCAAGTTCGAATTTGGTAATACTCAGATTAAGGGTTTTGAACTTTTCAAATTTTATCTGATCTTGATGAAATGAAATGAATGTAGATATTGAACAGATCTTTACTCAAACTTGGTCCACAACGGATGGAAAGTTTGCAAGAAACTTGCCTTAAGTAAACACTTCCGATTTGGCCTGTAGACAGTCAAGCTGCCAGTTCTTTGCCGTCAAGCTATCTTTGCATAACTGACTGTCTTCGCAAGTTCGTTGGTATGTCGAATTTTGCCGATTAATTTGATGAGAATCGGAATATCAGCTTCAAATAATGCTGTGAGTATTAAAATTCGTTTTCTACAGAGGACAATTTTTAACCAATATTTTGTGGTGGGAAGTGTATTGCTGTACAATGTAATTTTATTTTATATTTTCATCAATAAAATTGATGACTTTCAAACGAATTATTTAACCAAACATATATCTGTGATTCTCATTCTGCTATCCAGTTCAATGCGATATCTTTTTACGGTCGACAACCTCAAAACAAATTTGCGACAATTCAGGAAAACCATTCCTTAAAAACTCTAAATTATTATTACAGAAGTCTTCAGAAGTAATAGAAATGGATTTAAGGGCTCAAATTTCGACGATGAGCTGTGAACACTTTTACAGATAAGTTAAGCTAACGAATTTCCGTTTATACTGATGGCTAATATGTCCGTTCATTTTTTGCAGGCCATATATTATAAGTTTTCTAGGTGTGTTTTCAGATAACCATGCGGTGAACCTGCCCCACTGGACCTTTAAACACACTCGAAACTATATTTACGGGAGGATCTTTTGCGAGAGGGTTGCGCGGATGAAAAGCAACAGAAATGATTTGTTTAATTACTATTTATTATATCTCAATTCCCCCATGATCTGGCTTGAAAATGTCTTGCTATCTTTGGTGCGTTCCTTCACCAATTTAAAACTGAAGTGTGTTGACTGAAAAAAAAAAGAACAGACGGATGAATATACAAACTATGACATTCACGGTCATTCCCGTCTTATTTATCTTGGTCGCTTTCTTCGCAAATATATTCCTAGATGGCTTCCACGGTGTTGGATGCACTCTTGCATACACCGCTCGGCATTGTCATTAACTCGAAAACATTCATTGGTGATTTTCCTGATATTTGTTTAAACAACCAATTTGTGAACTAAAACATAATATGCGTCTCTATTTTCTTGACTATATTATTCCAGTCGATGGCGGTCAAAATATTTTTCAGATGATTATTTGTGTCAGCAAGTTTCGGTAAATAATACCATCAAATTTATAACTACATACCGGTTTGGGCAGGTTGCACTCCATTCATCATTTGACCTCCAAATGATCCCATACCAGCATATGGAGACATACCAGCTCCCATCATACCCATTCCACCGAGCATACCAAGACCTCCTCCCATCATTCCACCAAGCATACCAGGGTAGATTCCTCCCATCATCCCACTGTACATACCCATCATACCACCACCGTACATGCCCATCATGCCTGGGTAATAACCTCCCATCATACCTAATCCACCGAGCATACCAGGGTATAAACCTCCCATCATACTACCGTACATACCGGCATGTGAGATAGCTACCAAACAGGCAAGGACAACAGTTATTTTCATCATCTGAAATTACATCGAAATAAGTTCTGTATGTGACGGAATTGAATACAAATATCGACAGTCTTAGACTATTCTTTTTAGTCAGTTTTAACCGTTGAAGCTTTTTTGATGACTTTCGAGCTATATCTTCAAGCTCTGAATTGAAAATCAAACAGTTTCGCTACGTTTGTGAAATATGTTATTTCTAGATATGTATATATGATAAAATCACAAAATTACTGTAAATGAATCAGTATTAAACTGCAAATTTAATTCTTACCTTGAAGACAGCTAGGTATTTAATGATGTTGATATCTTGCTGAACGTCACTTTTATACCCATACTTTATTCAATAGAGGAAGTGCGATCCCAATCCTTAATTGGTTTATAATTGTGCTGATGTATTACATATAGTCTAATTATACGATTTAATTAATATGACATCACTAAGAACAATCATTGGAAGAAATTGATTAAACTTTAAACTCGACAAAACATATAAAAAGGTGTCCTAGAGAGATTTTTAAATATGGTTAGTTTAAGTGATAATACCTCGCATAACGGAGCAGATCCTTTGTGATAGAAATATATGGCCATTCATGTTTTGATAGCAACAAGGAGTTTGGGGTGGACATTTATCTTTTGATAGCAAAAAGGAGTTTGGGGTAGCCATTCATCTTTTGATAGCAACCAGGAGTTTGGGGTGGCCATTTATCTTTTGATAGTTACAGGGAGTTTGGGGTGGCCATTTATCTTTTGATAGCAACCTGGAGTTTGGTGTGGCCATTCATCTTTTAATAGCAACCAGGAGTTTGGGGTAGCCATTCATCTTTTGATAGCAACCAGGAGTTTGGGGTAGCCATTCTTTTTTTGATAGCAACCAGGAGTTTGGGGTGGCCATTCATCCTATGTATGAAGTACTTCAGATGTCAAAATTAAGAAGGCAATTTTTTCATGGAAAAAGCTTTTTTCTGCAAATATCCTCATGGGCATTAGTTCAATGAAAGGGAAGGAATTTTAAAAAGGCTGTTTTTTTTTTTAAATGGTTCAACCTATGATGCTGTAGTTTGATGAAAAGGTGTATAATACCCTTACAAATATTAGGTCAAAATATTATGATCATAGTTTTGATACTTTTTGAAAAATACTGCAAGTCAATCTGTATCAGACTCAGAATTTAAATACCTGGTGAGCACCACTTGGCCCACACACCTGGTCAATTATGTGGCCAAAACACGGCCACCTAATCACCTAATGATATATTGAAACGCCCTCGACAGTAGCTTAAATAACAAACTTACTATTGTATCTGCCTGAATAACATTATCTTTAGATATTTTCTGTAGTCTATCTATGTTACCCAAAAAATGTTGATATGTATGTAACAATATATTGCTGAATTGAATATTACTCTTGACCTACTTGAACTTTTATTTCTGTTTGAATACCCTGTAATGTTAGTGGCGTTATAAATTCAGTAGACCAATATATGATTTATAAAGAAATCTGATATCTCGTATGAAGGCATTAATACAACAAGATTTACACCATTAAAAGTCAAAAATCCAATGGAAATAAAATGAAATGAATGGAGTTTTACGTCCTACTTTTCTGCACCATGAAGGAAATTTCCAACTGTCGAGGGATCTTTAACGAGCACAGCCTGTAGCACACAGGGCCTCGGATTATTGTCCCATCCGAACGACTAGACACTTTATCCATGTCAGCCCCTCTTATCTGCATCACTGACAGGGGGGAACCGGGTTGAAAATCCGAAGGGATTATCTCGACCTATGCCGGGATTGAACTCTGGACCTTCAGGTTAGTACGCAAGCGTCACTGAGCCACCACGGCTTTATTATTACCCCCTTCCCCCTATAAATCATTGATTTACCCCTCTTCGCACATTAAATCCTTCGCAATCCTTTTCATGTCGAAGAAAAATACGAAGAATAAAACGACAAATCGTCAAATTTTTATGCTAGACTACAAAGCGCCTCCACCCCCAAATTTCAAAATCGGTTGAAAATGGGAACAGACGAACGGTCACGGGAGTCGACATATAGCCTTAAAGACACATTACACCAAAATTTCACTTTTGTTTATACACATAAACAAATTATTACAATAAATTACATAATAATGTGTCATTTCTAACAAAATATAAGTATGGAGAAATAATAAAAAGGAATTCATGAAACTATTAGGGATATATAAGGGTATCACAAATCGACATACTGCTTTGTGTAAACTATCTTTCATGCAATGGAATGGAGTTCGGAATGGAAACGAAAGTAATTTCCATTATGAAAGTTCTTTTTTTTTTCATATCTATGACTATATCTAAACATTTAAGTAGCCCCCACACCACTTTTTTTCGAGGCAAGTATTAAAAATATTCCCGCGAAAATTTCTAAAACGACTGTGATAATTCCCAAAAAGAAAGAAAAATCAAAACTATAATCAAACACGAAGTCGTCACTGAATTTAGCACCAAAAATGATGATACCAACTACATATAGACCAGCTGAAATATAAGAACAAAATTTATATGACGAGTTACGTTAAGAAAATTATATATATTCAAAGCTTAAATTGAGCTTGATCAGCTCGCAAGCAGATTATTGTATCCTTTTAAAGTATTCACCCAAGGTCAATTGTTTCCTAAGCTTGAACAGTTTCAAACTTCTGTTAACTGAGCTTAAACAGGAATAAAGAACACTGACCATAAATTACTCAGATTATCAGTGGCTCTCCAAAATTTCACTCGATTTAAGCATAGAACATTAAAAGAAAATGCTTTCGCGGGATTATAATTCATGTTTTATACTTGAACAACAATTTATTCATACACGAACAAAATAATAACATTCTATGTTACGATGTTACATTGTTACATTATTGTCTAGATTCCCTATGTTTTGCCATAGTGAATTATCACAATGGTTCGACCATACATCATCGGGTGATTCGTTTCAATCATAAAACCATATAATATGCAGTGTTATTATCAATTTAAAATAAATTAGCCCATGCATACCTGTGACAAAAATGATAATAGCAGCCCAAAATATCATATCTAGATTTTTCTTGCAACTGTCTACAAACATATTGAGGATCAGAAATAAAAACGCCAAATTTAGGCCCAAAAATCCAAGTGTGACAAAGGCTTGGAAACTACCATACCACGCTGAAATATAAAACAGAGTAAAACCCTTAATCCTAATTTCTAAATAAAGTGTCTGCTCCACCCTAGGCCTGTACATTTGGGAGAATCAAAACCCTTAATCCTAATTTCTAAATAAAGTGTCTGCTCCACCCTAGGCCTGTACATTTGGGAGAATCAAACCCTCCCTTCCCCGAAATCTAATTGCCAAGAGCAATAGTAATTGCCGGTTCTTTATTTTAAATATAAAGACACCAAAACAATCGTAAGCATAATGATAAATTATGATGGATACCACATTATCTTAAGTGTTAGTCAAAATTATGAACTTAATATAGCGACTGGCAAGCAGTGTTATCGGGATATCTCAATATGACGCTTGTAATTGTGACATACAAATAATGTATATTGTTTCTTGCGCCTTTTATTATTTTATACATCTGCTATTCTGTTACTGATGGAGCAAATTCAGGCATGAAACTTCATGCAGTGCAAAAGAAAATTTAAGCCTGGAGAGTGGTTTTAGCATACTCTTTAAAGAGTAAAACATTAAGCACACAGCTACACAGCCGAATGTCACATCCGAACAACAAGATTTTTGTCAGGTTGAAAACTCAAAAATTGTCCAATTCAATGAATCATGGTGACAAAAACATAGAAATTATAAGCAGCTTTACATCAATTCAGAAACATGTTGGAAATTTGGAAATTTGTTTATGAGCTTGGAAATTTGTTGGTGGTAATAAAACCAATCAATAAATTAGGAAAATAAATCGCTTAAAGTGTATTAAGTAAAAGAAATATGGAAATCATACTTAAGCCCCATCCATCCAAAGGTGAACAGCCAATACCATTTTTTGGACACAACCTCCACAATCCATACACAGAATATCCACTGTTAACGGAAATTCTGCCTTCACCCCATCTGACCGTGCAGAAGGCAATCCAATTTAGTAGCTCTGCAATGAAAATCGTTATGAAAGCAATCTTCACAAAAATGGAAGCTCCTTTTAATCCATCAAAGAGACCCATGATATCAAAAACAGTGACTGGGTAGAAGTCAAATAGTTGCCTTTCCAGTCCGATGGTTTGTTTACAAATGTTGCCAAACTACACCATAATGAAGACAGAAGTGTTGGTAAATGGTTACATAGTTACAATTTCAACAGATGTTTATGTATGTTCTTTTAAACAGCCACTGTGTCGATACAAATATAGTGTTTACGGGTATTTATGTCTTAACAACGGCAATAAACACGGGCGTCGACAAGTAGTTGTGTCAAATCCATTCTTGTTGATAGTTGTCAAATCTAACCGATAACTTGAAACCAAGTCATCATTAAAATGAGTTTGTCAGGAGAATTTACAGGCTCGTCTGTCTTTGCTAAATTGACCGTAATTTTCATGTTGCTGTCTAATTTGTGTAATTGGATAGCTTTCACAACTACCTATTGGATTCCAGGCACTGGGTTATGGAGAACGTGTAGTATAATTGGAAATACTCCTAACTGTAGATTTAACGATGGAAATGACGTAGGTAAGAATGGAAGTTTTTAGTACTCGGGCAGAAATAAGTATAAAAATCTCGAGTTGTACACTTATTTTAAAAATATCAGAAAGCATATCAATAGCATATTCTGGTTAGAAGGTTGGAAATTGTGAAAATTAAAAACTTATATGAGACATATCTGTTTGTGTTAATTTAGCTGTTTAAAACTTTCGTTCTATTATAGAATATGTTTGGTTTTCTGTGTCCTTTCAGTTTGGGTGCCTATTGTTTAATGATGTGTGAACATAAATTAATTATCAAACTCAAATTTTGGTTTATTTTTCAGAATTTTTTCAAGCCACACAGGCTTTTGTAAGTTTTGGATTTATTGGTATCAACGTGGTCTTCTTCCTTTCTATATTGTATATATGGGTGGCCAAATGTGCCAAAAATGCTGATATCTCATTTTGGGGAGCAATTCTGGCTTTTATATCAGGTGAGTCAACTATACCAATAGAATTTTGAATCAACATTATGTTATGCTGTTATGTTATTATTATAGAATACCTACTCAAAATGCAATTTGTCTCGGGTTCTGTTGTAAAAATTCTATATCGCTGTACAATTAGTATATTGAGATCTATTTTAACAATGAAATTATTTTTGTTAATGCAATATATATTAAAGAGTTTGTAGAAAATTAATATTTACCATTTGAATACTGAATGATAAATACATTGCCCAATCCTGTTTTTTTTTCTAGAAGTGCTGTAACCAAAGACTTAGTTTGTTCTTAAACATTATCGGAGAATTATTTTTATCAAATGACACTTGCCTTTAAAATTCAAATTTTGAAACCTTTTTTTCTATATATCATACAAAGTTACATTTATCTGCATTCTTGTGCATTTGTAAGAAATACTTAAATTTATCACATATAACACGCATTGTATTTTTCTTGTTTCAGCTGGAAGTTATTTCATTGGCGTACTGATTTATGGTATTGAGACAAATAAAAACTTCGTTGTCATCAATTTACATTATTCCTATGCAATGGCCATATTAGCTTTATTATTAGAGGTAGTTGGAGGTATTTTCTTTTTATTGGCTGGTAAACGATAAGAATCGTTACTAAACCCATTTCTTCATTAAAATAATATTGTATCGAAAATGTTTAGATGTTTTTTTTTTGTAATTTTGTCAAGTACTGTTTGTTTTGTAATAAACCATGTTATCAAACGTTTCTTTTTATATATTTATTGAATAGTATTAAAATGTATAAACCCGCCTTTAATGTTGTTCTTATCTAAATCATTGATAGTTTATTGCAAACTACTTGCATGTCGTTGTGAGAATATTATTTTTTTTATAGCGTTGTTATGAAGCGTCCCCTCAAGGTACGATATTATATTATATATATATATATATGTGCACGAGTAATCATTTTGTAGATGTAAGCATTATGTTTAACGGTAACATGAAACTTTCGCCATGTATACTATTTCGTCAAAATGATTTGATTTTCCAGAGCATCTCTAGTCAATGTGGTTTTACGTTATTTACCGTCCGTTATTCCTTCCTCATTTTACAATCTTTTAAAATAAAATTTCACATTGTTTATAGATTTAAACTACCAAATTTATAGTCAATTCAACAAACATATTTTTATTGTTTAATAATACTTGATGTATTCTTCATTACAAAGTTCAATTGAACTGTAAGTTCAAAAGAAAGAAAAAAAACAACTATATTTTACAAAGATAACAACTGGTAGAAAGGATCCTTAAGTCTGAAAGCTGGTAGAAAGGATCTTTAACTGAGAACCTAAGTCGTTATCCTTGACATTTCATAATCGTGGAAAACACGCGACCAAGATACTTACAATGCGAGCAGTGTAGGGACAGTCAGAAATATCCGTTTGATCTCTTCCTTATCCTCAGATTCAAGCAGTAGCTCCATTCCTTTATATACGGTCACAAAAGTCGCCATGTTTATTTTCCGATGTTTTTTCCAACTCCAGTCTATTTAATACTCTCCACAGAGAAACAAAGGATATACCCAAAGTTTAGTATTTTTGTAGTCAATTGTTCTACTCTGGCAAAGATTTTTTAGCGCATTTTTTCATGATTTTCTGAGCCAGATCTTATTTTTGTTAAGAACGAAATTGACGCCCGCTTCATCTATAATGCATCACAGAGTATTGAATCAATTTAGATAAGGGGTTTACAATATTTTCCTTTCTATTAACCTTTGAGGGTCTTTGATCGATAGCATTTTATAAATCCATGTTACATCATGACTTTCTCTTATGTCGGAGAATAAAGCCTGACTGAATAAAACGACTTAAATTATAATTGCCTAAATATTTTATGCTAGAGTACACATGAGGCTACCTATGTTGACGTAATAGTATTCGAAATTGTCATCTGAAACAAAAAAAACATGGTTTATATTCATAGGATCATTTCAATTTGATGCCGATACATTTCAAAACTTAAAATCGGGTAGCATATATAGATTCTTGCTTAGTTTAGTTTAGTTTTTTATTTAGTGTTTCTCTGGAAGTACTATTTGAGCAAGACACCTTCACCAAATAATGTTTATGACAGTAAAAATGATATTCCTATGCTAAAGAGTCATACCTGTATCTCCATTTAAAAATGTTGTTACTGGTAAATCATCTTTATATGAAGAAAATCCTCCATCTTGTCTTTCTGTTGAGTCACCGGCGTTACAATTACAGTCTAAACCATTATAGCACGAGTTATCTTTCTTACACGCACAGTTCATTTGACCTTTAACACCACCAAAAAAATAATCTGCCAAAGATCCATCACGTGTTCTCCAACCATTGTCTCTCATTAGTGACGAATGTCGACAGATAACATTCATGTACTGATAACAGTACGTAGATGAATCAACAATGGCAGAAATATAGTTTAAACCAATAGAATAATTCACATCGTATACACCACTTCGTGTACCAATATGACCTTGTAATTTGGTATTATTGTTCCATGTTTGTCACAGAAGCGGACCCTGATGAAAAAGTATAAAAAGGTCGTTTTTTTCAGACGGCCATTAAGCCGCAAATATATGTCGGAAAAAAGGCCAAGAAATCCGGATTTGTGGGAACCCGAAGTTTCTTTCTGCTAAGTTTTAGTTTGAACAAATCTATACTCTACGAGTTACACTGCCACTATAAATCTAAAAAGGTATAAATTGAAAAGCAACCACGCCCACCCACAAATTAAGTAACATATTCAATATTTTCGACTAGACTTTCACATACCAATGCAATGTCGATTAGTTAAGCAAACCAAACCCTCCCTACCCCGAAACCTATAACAATACCCTATGTTTTAAAAGCTTACCAACCTATAACAGTTTCGTATTTGTTGTAACGATGTTTACATCTAACCTGAACTGAATCGCTAGATTCTATTGGTTCAACTATTAATGTAGACCCAACTGATACACCATGGGCGGCAGCATCGGCACACGTCTTACCTAGAATAAATTTACCTTCATTTTTAGACATTGCACAAACAATATTTCAAGTATCTTTTTAAGTACACTACAATTTTAAATAAGACGAAATGGCATTCACTTTTGTGTAATCTTTCCTTATTGGTTAGATACCAGTATGTTTTAAGATTATTTTGAAGGGGTTATTCTATTTACTAGTTCAACAGGTTTAAAGGACAAAATAATAATTATAAGCAACTCCTAATGGACATACTGTAGTTACAGAATAAATACATTGTATTTTATAAAGATTTTAGATCTTACCATATTGACAACTTACAGCCGATGTGTTCCATGATCCTTCTTTTAGGCAGACAATAGACGAGTTCTGATAGGAGTCGGGAGGACAGTCATACAACATAAGATAACCTGGTAGATAGTATTGATCAGCAGGCTGAGTATTGGTATTTGGGATGCTTGGTGGTGGACCACAAACTAAACAAATTAGAAAGATCGGAGATTTTTTCTAGAATGACTAGTCTAACTTCCTATATACTTACATACCAAAGTTTGTGGAAAATTGATGGCGTTATAACATTTGTCAAAATATAAGATTGTAAAGGTTAATATCGCTGGGGTTGGTTTCAAAATCAAAATCCTACTCCATCTACATTAATTTTAATGGATAAACAGTCAAATTCTCTCTTTTGCTTTAACTTATATAAGCAAATTTTACTTGCAATTTTTATCAAAATCAGATACAAAACTGGATTTTATATCATTCTTGAGGAAACGTGAACAGACGATTTGCCGAAAATAAAAGTCAGAACAGTTTGCAAAATAATCCATGCGTGTAATAAAGATATGTCGTTAGAAGCAAATTTTTGATAAAGTTTTAGGATTCAAATACTTTTGAAAATGGGACAAAATAACCGCCATTATGTACAAAACATACCCCTGCGATGAAGCATAGAAACAGAAACGAATAGACGTGATTTAATAACTTGATAACATTACCAAAATCAATCATTAATATTAAAGTCCGGACTAATGAGCTCGAAATTAGACAGTCATTATGGCCTATAATTAACATTGAAATAAAAGTCAGGTTTAGGACCCATTTGTTTACTATACCTTCAGTTGCCTTGTATGTCACTGTTCCAGCAGCCAATTCAGTTTGTGCAGTTGAAATAACTTCATCATAAAGTTCACATCTCCAAGAAGTCGGGTTGTACGAAAACCCTGTACAGTATTCCATATCTTGACATCTTCTAGAGCAATCTAACTTTGAATCTTGAGTAGTCGTTTCAAAATAATTAGTAAGTTTAGTATCAACAAAGGCTGTGTCAAATAAGAATGTTTTTGTACATTCTGAAACCACATGTACAGCGCGTAAGCAAAGTATGAACGATAAAACGAAACCAGTCATCTTTGAAAAAATGTTATCCTCAAAAACCTTCCCTGAACCAGTTACTTCTTTCTCGACGTATTATTCCAGACTTTATCTCAGAAGACAAGATTGCATAAATATATACTTTTTAAGACAATATAACATACGCCAGCTGGCAGATTATGTTTAAATAGACAATTTGAAAGACCAACATACATTATTAGTTATACGTCAAAACTGTTGTCTGTACATTTGGGAGAATCAAACCTTCCCTTTCCCGAAATAAAAAAAAATAGCGATGTCCATCGTAATACGCCTACAATTGTAATGGCAACCAAGTCGTCCAGGAGGTTGACAAGAGCTATCAGTGAATATTTCGAGAGTAAGAGCTTTATTTACAGCCTTTTTCTTTTTCTATTTTTGTTTTGTTGATAATAAACCATCAAGTTTCGTCTAAATCAGTCAAGAATTTTGTCTTCTGAGGTGTTTACGAGCTAAAGATTGAACAATATCGAAAATATATAACCCATATAAAATATTTTTCGATTTTGTGCTTTTTAATCGGGTTCCACCTTGGGTGATTCCATTAAGTTTCTCTAAATTCTGTCGAGAATTATGCCTTGAACGAGATTACAAGGGCAATAACTCATTAAATTTTTTTCGATTTACCTTATTTTCAATATGGTCAGAGAAGAGAATGTATAGATATTTAAATATTTTTTTTTTTAAATTATGCTTGCGTATATTACAGTGTTCCACTAACGTTCCGAGTCATTACTGTTCCCATTGTACGATAATTTATATAGAGGTAAAGGGCTGAGATTAAGAAGGGCTTTTTGTCCTTTAGAGTAATTCCCCTTGAAATTCTTTACATTTTGATGCTAATCTTATAAACAACTGTGCTATCTCCTCCCAAAGTTTCAAATCTCCTTCGAAAGAATGGGCTTAACTCCCAGATCTTCAGGTATGACTTATTTAGACCTGCATTATTTTATTCATACATAAATATGCGAGGAATTAAGGAATGTTTTGACATAAGACATGCAACAACAAAATAATCTTGGAATTGTTCAGCTTGGTCTAACTAAATAATCCTAAACTTAAAGGGGAAGTAAGCATTTTTCATGAGTATAAACCTATGGTGGCAAATTTCTTTGATTTGCAGGTTGCATATAAGTCAGTAATAACCTACCATCTCTTGGCAGGGTCTTTATTCTGAGACACAAGTCTTACATTTGAAGGACATGTTTTAAAGGATAGTTTTAAAAACGACGGTCTTGTAATATTTTATAAGTATTGAAGGAAACCATCTGCTAGTTTGTAAGGTTCAAAATCTAGACGCGTCAAACGTAATACAGCACTCATCACGTGTCGTTAATGATTAATATGTATTTCTCTTGCTCAATGTAGTATCGAATACAACATCGTTCAGAAAATTTTTTTTTGAAAGTGATTTTAAAAATTACAAAATATATTTTTAGAGCATAGTCTTATTTTGGGAGATTTGTATCGTTCAATCCTACATATAGAATTTTTCAAAGTAGAATTTGATGTTCCTAATATTTCTGAAAATTGCTTGGAACGTTTCTACACATTACATGGGAGATAATATCGATTGATCCTTCAACATATTTACCTACTATTTAATTAGGAAACGGTATATAAGTCGGATAGTGACCCCTGACTCGTTCTTACGAGGGTTTTCTAAAATTGTCCTCGGTCATTATCCTATTCTTAGAAACGAAGGTAATCATACGTGAAAATATTTCTCTTAATATGTTATTTGCAATTGTTTATCTGCTTCGTCAACCTGAATTTTTTTTAAAAGAGTTAATAAAAAATCGTTTTTAATCCCCCCCCCCCCTCTAAAAAAACATATAGGGACTGTAAAACGTAAACCTTTTTGGGTTCAAAAAAATAACGGTACGTTGTTTTAGTTAACACTTTTGGATCACCTAGATTTGGGGCTAAATTTTTCGACCTACTACCAACAAAAACACCACTTTAAGGTTGGGGTATGTGTTTATGCGCTTGGTATATTTTGATATATCTTATAGAATGCATTTTTTAAACTTAACTTTTTTAAAAAGCAGACAAATTCTTTTAAATTTTGTAACAACCCCGTCACACCAGACTGCGATCATCTGCGATCTTACGGCGAATGAAAATGTTCTAGGTCGTGGTCAATCGTGAGGAAAGTCTCTTAATAACGCACTGAGCACGCCATGAGATCGAGAAGGTCGTCGGACAAGAGTTTAACATGCCATAGGGCGGTATAAAAGCGCTGAACAAAGATACTGCAAAACCGTTAAAAAGCAATATGTACGTTTATAGGATCTGATAGCATTCGATTTATGTCCCGTGTTTTCTGCATAAGTTGTTCGTCAACGCCCGCTGCATATAGTCGAGTTGCTGCAGTTGCTCGTAAAGAATGATTCGTGAAATGGCCTTTTAATCCTGCACTTTCACACAACTTTTGAACAGTTTTCTACAACAAATGAATCCCAACAGGTGCATCACAGTACCAAACTTCTGCAGAGTAGTTGTTACGTGGCCTCAAATAGAATGCTTCAACTTTAACATTCTTAGGCCTGGAAAAAAATGAAATGAACAAAAAAGTAATATAAACGTATAGATTTATAATCTAATGAATGACACGTCTAGCGATTTCTCAGTTGCCGCGTGTGGAGTCAATATACAAAATTATTTTAAAATGCAGCTTGCAGATTACAGTTAAGTGATTATTTGGCATTTTTCAAACAAAACATTACGTTTTCCTGTAGATTTTTAAGAACGTTGAACATAATGTATCAACACTAATCATTATTTATGATATTGCGTGTTTTCAAAATTGCTGTAATTATTCCCATCTAGTATTCAGTGAGCATATCGCATTCACCTTTGGAGTTAATCAGAAACAGTTTATAATTAACTTACCTCAAGCTCATATATTTTTCACACATTTTCACTGGACATCTCTCATGGTATTCTTTGTTTCCATATATGCTCTGGTTATTTTAGGTGTAATTTTTCGATGTTGTAATCCTCTTTGATTTGTTTTTGAAACATCCTCGTGATATTCTAAATATTTAAGGTCCTGATTATCTAGTTTGACTGCCAGTTGAGACAATGTTCCTGTCCAGCTCTTAAGGCGAAATGGAGACTGAGTTGAAAGACTAGGGTATCCAATAGTTGTTGTGGACTGCTGGTTCCAAGAATCCCATTATTCCACATCATGTTTTCGTGTTTCTCATTTATAATATCGGCCTGTCGCCTCTGTACACCTTTTCCCTGACGGTTCAAATCTTTCATTTTTGAATCCAAAACAGCCTTCATTCCACGAAAATCACCATCATCCATCATAGAAAGAAAACGACCATTCTGTCGCATATAATATTGGATCGAAATAATGATTTCAAGCAATGTATTTGGTTTATAATCATCACCTTTTTCATTTTTGATTTCTGCTATAAAATATCCAAATAACATATTAAGATGTTCATTTGATAGATGAAGGATGTCACGATGCTCCACATTTAGTCCATCTCTGTGTGCTCTCCATTTTTGGAAAAGATTCACCGCCCACTTTGATTTACTTTCAGTTTTCTTAGATAAGCCATCTTTCACTAAATTATTCAAATCGTTTTGATTCAACGGTGTTCCAAATCTCATGTCAGCTTTATTATCTTGAACCGGCAGTTCATCTTCACTTGTAATATCAGAAAATAGATCACTTTTTAATTGAAAATTTGGCTGGGCACTAAAAAAAAAAAAACATCCTCTCCACTTGAAGACATGGTGCTTGACTATTCAATGAATGATAATCATTGTGTTATAAAATCAACTCACTAGTGACTGTCCATTATTATATTAATGGGTGGCTATGGTTTAATTCCGAGAGAAGCCTCAAACTATACATTCTGTGTGAGAATAGATCCCACAGAATGTATAGTTTTCAGCTTCTCTCCCTTAGATAGAAATGTTAGATTCAAGACGGAATATAAAACAATGAATGTGACTTTTGTTATTAAAATATAATCTAACGAAGTCTATTCTTCAGATGTAAAGTTGAGATTTCATAGCATTTATTACGGCAGTGGCGTGGTAAATACCCATAAGTACCCTTACAGCTATTTACCACGGGGTGGTAAATAAAATTAGTCATGATTTGATATTCCTTTCGGCAAAAATTGCTTAAAAGTACCTAAATATTCAAAATAACGATTTTGAATTCATCTCATAATGTTCATCAAAAATTCGCTTAAAAATGTCGTGTTTGTTTACAAATCAATGTCAAGGCCGACTTTGAAGAGTTCACGGTTCAAGGCTGATTACTTCTCAATTCAAAGTGTACATTCATTAGCTCTTTCGGCAATAGATCTTAATTACAAATTAGTCAAAATTTACTTTTAACCTTTTTAATGAATTTGAAACAGCAGGCTTATTACAACTATATCTATTCAAAATCAATTCAGGACTAATCTTACCCACATGATCGTAAGGGTATTTTGTTTGAGAATAATTTTTGAAAATAAATTCCTGCATTTTATGCAATTTGTCTTCTAATATTACTAAGTTTTTACAAGAAACTACAGTGGTGTATTTAGAGGGAAGTGCCCTCTAAAAGCCAAAAAGGGGGCAAAGGTGCCCCTCACCCCGTCAATGAAATCTTGGCTACGTCACTGAATAAGTAATGTATATTTCCACAAAAATTGTACTGTTGGGTCCTATCGGTGATTTGAGAATTAAAATCCCATAAAAATGCAGGCCTAGGTAATGAAGTTAGAATTTTATATTTATCTCAGTACTGTTAAATGCGTTCACTCCTGTACGTTTTCGGCCTTTTTCATGGTCGCCCCGAGTTCATTCACCCTGGGCCCGTTCGCTCCACAATATTTCAATAATCCATAATCCACAATGTTTGAACAAAATGTTTATATGTGTTATATTGTTGAAGTTGGTGACTTATACATTAAAACAGCTATCATGTGACTTTAAACTTACTGACTTGCTAGTCTTTCATTCAAACGATTTCCAATTTGTCGTCCAGAAACTTGCCTTCACTAACACCTTGTTTCTGCAAACGATTCTATATTCCTTAAAGTGTCCGGAATTAACATGAACTTCGAAACAAAGAAATATATTATGTAAAAACCGCAATTACTTAAAATTCTCAAGAAAGTGGTAACATGGCCCACTTTTCATCTCGATTCATGCAGCATTGAACAATTATATTGCACCCAGGACAAATATTTTTTTAAAAGCAAATCAGTACTAGTGTTAACAGCTCATCGTCAAAATTTGAGCCTTCAAACTCACGTGTGTCCAGAATTATCCGTGTTTGAAACTAGTATATAGAAGAGATCAGTAATAATACAGATATTGACAGTGTTTGACTATAGTTTGTAGTAGAGGTCAGTAATGATACAGATATTGACAGTGTTTGACTGTAGTATAGGTCAGTAATGATACATATATTGATACTTTTTGATTGTAGTATGTAGTAGAGGTCAGTAATGATACATACATCGATAGTGTCTGACTGTAGTATGTAGTTAAGGTCAGTTATGATAAAGATATTGATAGTATTGGACTGTAGTATGTTGTCTAGGTCAGTAATGATACAGATCCTGATAATGTTTGACTGTAATATGTAGTACAGGTTAATACTGATACAGATAGTGTTAGACTGTAGTATGTAGTAGAAGTAAGTAATACAGATATAGATTAATACTACAGTCAAACACTATCAATATAAAATGTATTATTACTAATGTCGTTTCCGTCAAAGTTTGGGAATTTGTACGATCTTTTCTTTTATTCATGTTAATGGCTGGATTTTGACACGATTGAAAAATACTTTATTTTATATTTTTTGTATGTATAACTTGTATGTATAGCTCAATAATATCAGAACAAATGAACTTTCGTG